ATCCAGAAAGTTATGGCCTGAAATTTGCAAATATCAAAAGGGACAGAGATCTTTGGGATATAAAGATATGTTTTAAGTTTCATCAAAATCGGATAAAAATTGTGACCTCAAGAGGGTCCACAGCCTTCGTATTACACACTTTTAAACAATTTGTCGGGCAGTTTCATTTCGATTTTCCCGAAATACGAATTCAACCTTCATTATGGTGGAATGGTGATATATTTAAACCTTTTTTAAAATCCGAAAAAAATTGTGACCTATAGAGAATCCGCAAGCTAAAAATGCGATTTTTTGAACATTCAGGGGCCGTAATCCAGAAAGTTAAGTTCTGGTATCAACGATTATCAAAAAGAACCAATATCGTAGTGTGTAATGGTGATATATTTACGCGTTTTGTTTTTAAAATGGATAAACATTGTGACCTCTACATAACAGGGATCACAAGCTAAAAATGTGATTTTTTGTTCAATCAAGGGCCATAATTCAGGAAGTTATGATCCGATATGCGCGAATATCGAAAGGAACCAATATCTTTGGGTTATAAACTTACATTTCAAGTTTCATCGACAACGGATCAAAATTGTGACCTCTACGGGGTCCACAACATTGATGTAACAGACAATCAGCGGCCATTATCAGGAAGTCAGTGTCCGATATGCGCGAATATCGAAAGGAATCGGGATCTGTGTGTTATAAACATGCATTTCAAGTTTCATCAAAATCAGATGAAAATTGTGACCTCCAGGGGGACCAGAACCCTGATACACAATATTTTGATACAATTTGCGACCGAGGGGCGGCGATTTTGTCCGTCAGTTTCGGTCCGATTTTTACGAAATTCGAACTCAACCTCACTTAAGGTGTAACGGTGATATATTGTAACGGTTTTTTAAATAAAAATTGTGACCTCTATGGGGTTCACAAGCTAAAACGCGATTTTCCGTACAATCAGGGGTCATAATTCAGGAAGTTATGGTTGGACATGCGCGAATATCGAAAGGAACCGAGATCTGTGGGTTATAAACATACAATTCAAGTTTAAACCAAATCGGATAAAAATTGTGACCTCTACAGTGTTCACAAGCTAAAAACGTGATTTTTCGTACAATCAGGGGCCATAATCCATGAAGTTACAGTCCAATACATGCCAATATCGATAGGATCCGAGATCTTAGGGTGATACACCTATATTTCAAGTTTCATTGAAATCGGATAAAAGTTGTGACCTGTAGAGTGCTCACAAACAATTGTGGACGGACAGAGGCGACGACAATATACGTCCACGTGAAAATGTGGGCGTATAAAAACGCGATTGTTCGTACAATCAGGGGCCATAATCCAGGATGTTACGTTCAGATATGCGCGATTATCAAAAGGAACCAAGATCTTAGTGTGTAATGGTGATATATTCACATGTTTTGTTTTTTTTAAATCGGATAAAAATTGTCACCTCTACAGGGACCACAAGCTAAAAACGCGATTTATTCGTACAATCGGGGGCCATAATTCAGTAAGTTGCGATCCGATATGCGCGAATATCGAAAGGAACCAAGATCTTTGGCTTATAAACATGTATTTCAAATTCAAGTTTCATCAAAATCGGATCAAAATGGTGACATCTAGAGGGTCCACAACCTTGGCAACCTTGACATACTAGATGTTATCAAATAAACGATTAGTCAGACATTTTAATGTCACTTATCGATATATCGATGATGTTCTATCACTGAATAATTCCAAATGTATTGATTATGTAGAATTCATATATCCTGGTGATCTTGAAATTAAAAACAGTACTGACAGTGACAATTACACTTCCTACTTGGATCTGCGTCTCGATTTTGACAATTGCCATAAACTTAGTGTTAAATTGTACGATAAACGTGATGACTTTGACTTTCCGATTGTTAACTTTCCATTTATTAGTAGTAACATTCCAATATCACCAGCTATGGAGTGTTTGTGTCTCAGCTAATTCGTTACGCGAGAGCTTGTTCCTTTTATTCTGATTTTTTAAGTAGATCGAGGCATTTGTCATCTAAGCTTCAACTAAAGGGATACTTGCGAACTAAACTTATTAAAACCTTTAAAATGTTTTATGGCCGTCATATTGACTTGATTGGTAAATATAACATGTCTCTCTCGGCTATTATTCTAGACATATTTAATTGACGCGTATACTATCTCCCTGATAATGTTTGTCTACTACATCGTTAACACTGTTCATCACGTGCATTTTACATACCTATAGTTCACTGGCCAATCAAGCTATTTTACAGAGATGTCATCTAATAGTTTGGATGCAGCTATGGCGATTGTGGCGCCAGGCAGGGTAAGCTTACTCTTCCGGACACCTGTTACCACTGTTTGTCGTGTATTTTGTTGACGGTGAACAGTCCATATACTGATTACACTGTTTTGCTTTATTACACGATTTTGCCTATACCGTTTTTTTTTAGGACTTTGTTTAATGGTTTGGATTGTTCGTACTTGGTTTTATTTTATTTTTACACTATTTGCGTACGAGGGGCGGCCATTTTGGCGGCATATAATATCTATACAATGTCGTTTCACCTACTTTTGCTTAGATTTTGGGCTTGTGAACCATGTAGATAATTGTGGACTGATGGTAACCATTAAAGTCCGCTGGTTAGTGTTGCGTGAACCCAAATGTATTCCGGTAAATATTTCTAAGTAAATGAAGTTTATAAATGTACAACTATAACCTTTAATGCCCACAGCTTTTAAATATATGGGAAAACTTTTATTAAGGCGGGTACTCGGACCACCAATGTCTCTCTCACTTTCTGAATACAACAAGGTTAAAAAGCAAGGTGGTGGCTCCAATCCACCTGCTTCTCACCGCCGGTGATACTTATAAACACTGGGAAACAGAATATTATTAAGTACCTTCAAATTCATACATTTTACTCACAACTTAAACATACATCATTTAAGGCTTAGATAAAGAGCTGGTCGTTCTTGTTATAATAGTTTAAAACTAGATAATGAATATATTGAAATGTTAGTCAAATTAATTTATTCTGGGCGAAGATGTGGGTGTTTAAAGTTATGACAAGATTTAGCCTAAATAGTCTTGATTTCCAAGTACCATTACCACAAAGTCTCGATTATCCACTTTAAAGTTAAATTATTAATTTTGAATGATATTGTTTAGTTATACACTGGTATTGGTCACTGTGACTCATGGGCGACGATTAAATTATATTGAAAACGACATTCATTCTTTAATCTTTAAGTCAGGCTGACAGTTCACTATCGGGAGTGTTCTAAAAAAAAAAGCTGTCATCCTTCCCACGATTTATCTATTACTCAAATTGCACTGGAGAAACAATATATTTTCTGTACGTTCATTTAAGAGAAAAACTATTACAATGATTGTACTAAAGTTCTTGTTAGCGTGTATTACCGTCGCCTCTACAACCGCTATTGTTTGCCCTGAGGACATTTGTTGGAGAATGTTCTGTGCTGCTCCTTCGGAATGTGTTGGTGGACGAATTGTTCCTGGAGCTGGTTACTGTGGGTGTTGTCCTGCTTGTGTACCTAACCTTAGTAAGATCTCACTTTTCGTTTAAATGGAAGAAACTGGCCGCGTTGTAAACTTAAGGCCTTTCATCGGGTTCTTGTCTTGGCTATAACATTTTAAATGCCACTTTGTCTTATTTCATTTAGACTTGAATTAGAATTTAGAATCAAAATAACTATAAGCAAATGCAATTTATGTTAATTTCATTTGCATACTGTTATGAAGAAGGTGTCGTTTCATGATTAAGGTCACCACATTACCGGTTATTTGTCGGATAAGACAGACATTATTGAACATCGTTCTTGCTATAGATAATGAAAAATGAATATATTGATAATTTTAGTCAAATTATTTAATGCTGGGCGAAGTTTTGGGTGTTTAAAGTTTTCACAAGAAATAATTGATTGTCAAGTACCTTTGTCATGCTAATAAACGAAGTCTCGATTGTCAGACCATTAATTCAGTGATGGCTATTCTAACGTTAACCGATTGAATAGGCGCAGATGGTCTAATCCATTCAATATCTCAGCCGCCCGATTGTCTAGAGAATTGATCATTGGCTTGTGTAAATAAATGTCTAAATGATAACTATATAATATGCACCCACAAAAGAGACCTGCCATAGACAGATTTAACTTGCATTCATATCTGGGCCCATTGGATTAGTATGTTCAGTAATTGTCTTTTGCAGAAGAAGGAGATGCGTGTGGATTGACATTTTTGGTGGGATCTGTAAGAGGAACCTGTGAGGATGGAACAATGTGCGATACAAAAACATTAAAATGTGTCGCTAACAGCAACAAAAGGGCAGTTACAGGTATTTAATGTTAAAGTTCAATTGAATTACAATTACAAAGTAAAAATTTTGATTAATGTGAACATGTGCCTTACGTGTGCTTTTGCTTTGTGAAACGGGAACATGGGTTAATGCACATGATTTTATAAATTTCAGACGTCCCGGTTTCTCGAAGCGTACGTAAAGTTCAATTGAATTACAAAGTAAAGATTTTGATTACTATGAACAGGTGCCTTAATGTGTGCTTTTGCTTTGTGAAACGGGAACCGGGTTGATGCAATTGTTTAGATAAATTTCAGATGTCCCTGGTTTCGTCTGGCTAGCGTCCTTGTATTTGCTTTATATGGGTTTCAAGTTTGTGTTTGTTGTGCGGCACTGGGTCAACATATGGACACAGTTTTTGACAAATAACCGACGCACTGGAAAGTCATGAATACAGTCGGTACACATTATATGAAAAAAAATCTGAACGTATTATTCTTTTAGTGACATTTAGTAATTGGGTACATTAAAAAACAATAACACATACTTACGGAAACTAGTTACTGATACGTCGCCGAAATAAATTTGTAGCTTTTTTCCATAAGTATGTGTTATAGTTTATTAAAATCTGAACGATTAGTGTAGATGCTGTTCATCGGTTTATATAATAGATACCTGGTGAACGACTCCTTAAAGCTAGTCCTGGAGTTCCAATTGTCGACAGCTAGAAGGAGACGGATTGCAGGTTACAACAAAATATAGTTTCAGCCTGGCAACGCAATCAGGCCTGCTCCGAATAGCTGTAATTGTAAATTATCATAATATATATACAACTATACACACACAGGTAAATGTGTAGAGAAGAATAATAATGGTTTACTTGGTTCACAAACATTTAAATGTAATACGGATGGATCATTTGCTCCTGTTCAGTGCCGCGGTTCAGTGTGAGTACGTCAGTAAATTATTTGAAACTATTACATGGATAGAACTAGAAATGGTTCCACTACTGATGTCTCCTGTCTTGCTCCAGCCACAGTAGTGGACCGTGCTAAGGCTTTCCTTTGAGCAAGTTTTGTAGTTATTTGACTACAAAAAAGTTACCGGCCTATAACTCCCTTAATTAAAATTCCAATTAGACTGACAGCAATCTGTACTGTGCATAGCTTAACATATACTCAGCCAAATTAAAAACTTGACACTGATGAATTTCAACAAATTTTTTTTTCTGGTAAGTCAAATAAATTTTAAAGTGTTTCTAACGATAGTAAGTAGTAAGAAGCCTTTAATTTCATAAAATTGTAAAGTCACGTGGATCAAGTGACTTTTGAGCATATAAAGATGAAAAACACGTGCAAACACAAACTCGTGAGGTCAATCGATGCAAGTTTGCTTAAACTGAACACGCACACGTAACTTGAACTGGAAAAACAAATTAAAATTGTTATTTTCATCTTTGTTAGAAAATGCCGCACCTTTCAAATGTAGAACGTCTACGTGCTATAGGTAGGCTCTATGCTGGTCAGCCAGTGGTCACTGCAGCAAGAGCCTTTAATTGTTCACGCCAGACAATAATTAATCTTAGAATGAGAGTGCTTCAAACTGGAACTATTGCCGACCGCCCAAGGGCGGGAGCGCCACGTGTGACGTCACTCCAGGAAGATCAAGCAATACGATTACGTCATCTTAGAAACAGATTTGTCACTGCAACCTCCACAAGTAGGGTGACCCACCATAAATAAATATCTCCATATATCTCGACAATTACGCCACAATATTTATATATATGCCAAGCCTCAAATCAGTTTCACACAATTATAGTCACTAAATAAACGATCATGTTGTACTTAATAAGCTATGACCATTAATCATCTATAAATAATAGACTGAAAACTGGTTCCAAGTGTCGTCCATAACATCCAGACACTTTTGAGTAAAATATAGGTTACGTGCCCTTGTTTTGAAATTAGTCTCGCTTAACCAGTCTATTGACCATTCTACGTCTGATTGACAGGTCGGGATAATCAAGACTACTTTTTTACGAAACATAACAGAAAGCTAGAACAAGAAATTGAATTTAGAAATAAGCACGTTGGGTAGCTCAACAATCGTTTTAAGAACCCTGTAAAAGTAAAATGAAACTACTGCTAGTATCATGTTCCTGTCTAACCCGAGTGATTCAGAGATATTATTTGTACTAAACCAAAAGATGCCGCTCTTAACGGTACAGTTAATGATAAAGCGATTTAAAAAATGAAACGAACGTAATTTCTAAATCTGCTGTAATAACCAAGAAGCTTAATTTCACTGCTATTCAAAATCGTCAACAATAAATTTTTTACGGCTGTAATAGTTGATAGATTTGTAGAGAATTGCACGTGCCATGGCTATTTATAGTATCATACTGTCAGAAAGTTGGTCTCGGCACGGCGAATGTGTACGCTTCAGTGGTAGTCTCGAACTATCAGCGGTGGACTTTATTTCTGTAGAGTACATGGGCCACCCTACCACAAGTACAGAGATGTTTGGTGGAAGGGTAACTGCACAAACTGTTCGAAATCGCTTGCAGGCTGGTGGTCTTCTAGCTCGGGGGCCCTATAATGGACCAATATTGACACCTCTTCATCGCCGTAACCGACTTGTGTGGGCCACAAGACACATAAGATTTACTCAAAGACAGTGGAATTCGGTTGTCTTTAGTGACGAATTTCGATTCACTTTGAGATTTGCCGATGGCAGGGTCCGAATGTACCGCAGACGAGGTTAACGTTACGCTCAAGTATGCGTCAGAGAAGTTGACCGATTTGGTGGCGGCAGCGTCATGGTTCGGGGTTCTTTTTGTGCACATGGACGTTCTCCTCCTCTTGTCGTTGTCCAAGGGAACTTAAATGCTGTCCAGTGCAGGGGTCAGATTTTGCAACCTGTTCTTCTTCCGTTTATGCAGAGACATGGGCCTGGACTAACGTTTCAACAAGACAATGCTCGACCCCATACAGCAATTGCTACCCAGAATTTTTTAAGAAATGCCGGTGTCCAAGTCCTGGCTTGGCCGTCGCATAGCCCCGACCTTAATCCTATTGAACACATCTGGGACGACTGGGTCGAAGTGTTCGTCAGCAAGTGAATCCACCACTGACGTTGCAGGACCTTCAACATGCTCTTGCTGAGTAGTGGCGACGTCTTCCTCGGGTAGTGTTTACTAATGTTCTGAGATCCATGAGAATACGTTGTGTGGCAGTACGAGACGCTAGAGGAGGCCACAACCGTTACTAAACACTTTATTCCGATTGTTCTCCAAGTCTGTGAATTTCATTTTGGGGGGTACTGTGACATCACGAACGTTATCAATGTCAAGGACTGTCGGCGAGACGTATTCTTGCTTTCTGTTGATGTCAAGGTCATCTGTGCACAACATAACACTAAATTAGTTGCCTTAAACCAAATATTAAAAATCTAGTCCCAAAAATCCCGAGTGTCAAGTTTTTAATTTGGCTGAGTATATAATAAACCAATTCCCATTGAAATAAAGGTGAAACTTTATCGTATAATTATGATTTGTAAACCCAACTGCTATGCGAAATTTCTGCCTATTTTAAAATGGTCGCCGAACCAGAATCACGTGATATCATGTCACTCGAAAATACAGAAAAACTGTCCGGTAAGTCTAAGATAAGATTAAGATTTCGGTGTTCCACTCTTCACTATTTGTAACATAATTTACAAACTGTAATGATATGTGTAGAACGTGAAAGGTGGATCCAAAACTGGAGGCCTGTGAGTCCAGTTCTCAATTTTATATGTTGAGACCTGAGAATCTTAAACATGCATTATGCAAGAGCTAAATCAGGATAGTTTAAGTCTTTATTTAGGCTTCAGATGTCATGGAAATTATAAATTAGATCTTTATTTACACAACAAGTCCAAAATCAACTCAGTAGACCCACGGATGGTTTGGATTCGGCTTGGATTTAAACAGGATTTGATTGATTGATTAAAGTTTTAAATGGCGTCGTAAGCGACCGTTACGTTGCCGTCATTTTTGGTATGGAATTGTTTGGATAGTTGGATAAAATGTCTGCCGCCGCTGAAAGTGGTACAAGTCCAAAACCTCGTTCAGTCCAACTGAAACCATTTTTGCGGTAGAATACGGGGGGACAAATCGGTGTCAGTACGGACACAAAATGGTAATCTTACCAGCGTTTGGTGTAAACTTTGTGCCAGGCAAAATCTGATGTGCAAAAAATCTGATGTGGAACTGACTTTATAACTAAACATAATGTGATGAGACATTTGGGCTCAGCAGCCCACCACAGGCACAAGACTGCAATTGAATTTGAAAAACTTTGTTGTGGAACTGATAAAATAAATGATCTAGATCTAGATGATCCTGACACTGACAGCAATAGTAAACCCCATTTTGAAATCCCCCTAGTACAACCTAAAGATTACAAAATCATTTCAAGACCTGTCAACTGATGATGCATATAGAAAACTTTTTGATGTAGATGGATTGCCATTTAGCCATTTTAAAACTTTGGTTCAAGTTATGAAAAACTGTGGAGCTAGACTGATATCAAAATATGATAATTCCAATCGGGCTAGGGAATTTGTAAATTACATAGCCGATGCTATACAAGACAAAATAACCAATGTTCTTAACTCAGTTACTTGCTTTTCTTTACTGACGGATGGATCCCAAGCACGAAAAACAGACCGTAGTGAAAAAGAACTAGCATTTATCAAAGTTATTCACGAGGGCAATCCAACTTTTTTGTGTGCTGCACTGTGTAACATTGATGAATACGGAGATGCAACTTCTGATAATTTGAAAACATCCATAGATGCAGATGATATATTTCTAAAGACTCTTAATTTCAGTAAGGATGACTATGAACGAAAATGAGAGATGATAATAGGAACTGGTTGATTCGACATTCACTGTGTTCTGCATAGACTTGAATTATCTGTAAAAGATTAACTATGAAGAAAAGTGAATTTTGTGGTGTGCTCGATTTTATGGTTTTAATTTATTACCAGTTTAAAAGATCCGGAAAACTAGCGAGACATTTTAAGAAAATGTCCGAGATTACAATACAAGAGTGTTGAAATTTCCAAAGGTGCATGGCACAAGATTCATAAGCCACGAGCTTCGTGGACTAAACATTTTGATTGAAAATTGGGTAATTTTAGGCTCGACGTTAGAAGACTGTATCAAAACTAACAAATGTGCCAAGACCACAGCCAAATTACAAGGCATTCTAAAAAAACTTAAAGATTATTCATTTGTGTTTATGTCTCAGAACTACTATAATATTTTTAAACCTTTGTCAGCTCTTTCTTTGTGTTTGAAGAAAGGTGATGTTATTGTGATTCAGGTGATGCCTTCATTAGAGAAAACAGTAACTTGAGTAAGTGAATTAGAAGAATTAAAAAACAGTTTTATTCAAGAATACCAAATGGATAATCAGCAAGTAGTTTGTGAAGAGAGAGGGTTTCATTTTTAAAATTCATCTGTATCAGCCTTTGGTAATTAGTAATTATCTTTCTTTTATTTGTCTCTCTGCATCTTGAGACATAGAACGACAAAAGTATAGCAGTTGCTATTAATTAATAAATGATAATATATTGGTAATCTCAGTGTTAGTATATATTTGAGTACATTCTAGTGACAGTAGGCTTAATTTGATACATGTATATATATATTAAAAAGTTCTATCAATTTATATTTTTCAGGCACCACAGAATATTCTGTAAGTAAAGATGGTCTAAGATTGAATCATGGTAAACTGTAGGCGGATAA